ATGCTCACTTGGACACTTAATTCTGTCGGCTTCTTCAGAGGTAAACTGAATTGATTTGCATTTGGTTGTACCTGCTTATATATTGTTTGATGGTGAAGCAGCAAAGACCTGAGTCGCAGTGAAGATTTGCTTGTTTGTTTGTTTAGCCATTTCTATGGATTCTCGGACCTTCCTTCAATAGAAGAATAGAATACATGCAGTTTCGTCGAATAAGATTTGATGTGCGTTTTTATGATTACGTTCGGCAACCGCTGATGAGTTTGTTTGACGCAACCTTAAACATGTTTCATTTCGTTTCCTACCTCTTATACTTGATAAACTAATCGGCAGCATTCTTCTATTGAAGGAAAATCCGAGAATATGGGAGACAATGCTTTTGAAGTCTTAAACATGTTTCATTTCATGTCCTACGTCTTTTTATATTACTAATTATATAATATAAATATATAATAAGTCAAAACCATTTTTCCGCGAAACTAGTATAGGTAAAATACATAAATAAATATTCTAAAGGATTCTTGAAATGTTTGATGTTTTTCTTTCTGATGTGTGATGAAAATTCCTGTATCTCAAAGGGAATTTTAGGTTTAATGTATCGAAGATGTTGGGAGAGAAGTTTTGATATGTAGTCAGTAATGATTGGAATGTCAAAAACGGCACCAGTGGCATGTGTGGAATTGCGTTAGGGCTTAATATGAGGAAAAGCTTATATCCCAGAAATACTTGACGTGCTTGTTCAATTTTAACCCTTTTTCCCTTGTTTGTGTTGTGTTTATCACAAAAATGAGCCCAAATACGTTTTCAAAACGATTTCCTAACTCTTGGACTTCATGGTCAATTTTGAATGAAATGGGGATATTTTGATTTTCGCTGATTGTCTTTGTTTTTATACCATAGTGTAAACACGCTCAACAAGCTCTATGTCAGTGTCGGCCAATTGCTTTACCGTAAAAATTTTCGACTCCCTAAGCAGTTGTACAGAAGAGTAATTTCTAGTTTTTTGGAAAACTGTATTTAGGAAATATTTTTTGCATAATTTACAATTTTTTAAGATATACATCCAATACTCCGCCCCATAAGAAAATGCCATATTTTAAACGTGACTGCACTAATGCATAATAAAGTGTTATCATTTATTGTTTACTTAAAATGTTTCTAAAATTTTTGAATTTGTAAATCAATGGAGGCAGTTTGTTTGTTTGTAAATGTTTATTCCATTTGAATTGTGCATCCATTGTTATTGCTAATTATTTTATTTTTTCTGTCGACTTTATTGAATAGTGTTAATAATATCTAAAGTTTCAAAATTTGGCAAACCCGGTTTATTGCACGAAAATGGCATAAAACTTCATTTTTCATTCACCGTACATCTGATTAAACTAGCTCAAGTGTAAGTCATTTTCCACTTTGGTTTAAAGATTATCCCAAGAATCACTTTCGTATTGGAAAACTTTAATGTCCGCAACACCAAAAATGGTCCCTGACGTGTTTACCAATTATTTATGTAAAATATTTGCCCTAAAACGGATCCCTGGGGGACACCATAGGAAATGTTTTTTTTACTATAAGTATTTTTTTTTGTTTTCCGTATTCTTTCCATAAGATAACTTTTTAATCGTTTCCAAGGATTAAGGGTTTTATTATAGCTACTAGAAGACATTTTTCTACAAAAGTTGGAGAACAAATAACGCTAACAATACGTTCGAGGGATAGTCCTGGTTTGTGAACCTTAGGAAGAGACAGATTTTTTCCCGGATTCAAATAAATTAGAATCTTTAATATCAGATTTAAGGTTGGTATATAATATCTTTATTTTTTTCTTGATAGTCAATTATATGTATGACTATCTTCGCACTTTCTTTATCTGCTGAAGAAGCTACTGAGATGACTGCCGAAACTTCAGGCCAGTACCCTGTGGAAATTCCTTTCAAAAATTAATATTGGACTATCACGAAGACACAAGTGAAGAAATTTTATAAAGCAATAAGCACCAAGTAAAATCGAATGTTGGTGGTCAATCTTCAAAACTGCCCAGCAACGGCAACATCGCGAGCACCGTAAAAAAAAGGGTTGCCTGCAAAAAAGGGATCGGCGCTGCCGACACTGAAGAGAGACCGCGGGACGCTGGGTCTCGACATTACAACCCGTGCTAGCAAACGTTAAGCTTCGTTATTCATTTTCATATGTTTTTCCTTTTTTTGTTAGTTGTAAAAAGTGTGTTAAGTTGTAAAAGTTAAAAAATAAAGTTATCGAAAAATACAGTCCACTCAATCGAACAAGAATCAGCGCAGCAAATAACGTGGACCTACGTTAAAACCCACCAGTTGGGTATTCCTACTTTAAGTCTGAGTGTAATGAATTTAATTAAAAGTATACTTAATATTGAGAGCTTCAAAATGTGAAAATGTAATTGTAATTAATCTAAGTGACCGAATTAGAACTCGAATAAAAACGTATTTGTTTAGGTAGTTATTAATAATTTGCATATAATTAATCTCATCATATTTTCTATTAGTATGAATGTGATTTTATTAAACCCATATTTTTAAAACACCTACAAAGTTCTTTCCTGATGCTCCGTCCCACAGTACCGACTAATTAGGTGTTTTCTTGCCTTGGCAGTTTATTTGGCTTATTGTCGTCAAAATCCAAAATTGCGATGATAACTTTTAGATACTCCGAACGGCTTAACAGTTTCGGTACTTAGCAATTTCAAGAATTTCAAGAAAACGGCAATTAAAAACTCACGTGACGGTTCGGTGGGTAATGATCTTGGCCCCATGTCGAGTAACGTTTGCATTTCCGTCACGTAGACAAATAGAAATTGAAATTTTTCATGGTTACGGGTCACGACAGAAATAAACAATGACAGTCATCTAATTTTGCGTGACATTATGGCGATTTCCCTTCCTTTTAAGGACGCGCCGAATCAAAACCTTTTAAGGACGCGTGCGGGCCATCGAAATCCGCATTTTTATCAGTGACGTCGACCCCCGCCCACAGTGAAACCGCTTCATCTAAAATCAGGGACACAGAGGATAGAGTTATGTTTATGTTTTTAATATTTAACTTGCTCAACTCTTTACCTTATTGCGATTTTGGATTATAAATATCTTAATACGATGCATTTTTTCTACAAGTTTATCTTAAAGAAGAATTTCGATTATTTTTTAAGCTGATACAGAAATTATATAAAAACTTTTGCTGTAAAAATTTGAAATTATATAATATCAATCGTAATAATTACTAAATCTCAATTGTTTCCTTAATTTTTTTACATTACGTAAATCATTTAACAAAAAAATAAAATTAACCATCTCTAACTCTAAAATTAGAAGTCTAGATCAAAGTCGACCATCTCAAAATGTCCGATATGTATTATTTTGTTTGATTTTTTTTTAATGAACAGTAATTGTTAGAACTGTCGTATTTCATTGATTAAAATCAAGAGTGAATAAAGAAACAAAATGCTTTTGCTTATAGAAAGTAAGGTTAGGGTATGAATTCGAAAATGGATTTGAAAAAATGGTTTTTGAACTATGTGTTTTCTATTTACTTGAAGAAATGCGCAACAAAAATTTTTAATGGCCGTGTGCTAACATTTTTCTGGTGTGAGGCCGGGTAACCAAAACTTAAATTAAGAATTTGAATGAAAAAATCGTGACAAGTAATTTTAGTTCAATGGAAACACTCTACTTTTATAATGCAGTTGCAGATATCGAAACATTAGCAATAAAACACTTTTTGGATGGAAAAATACTTAGCAGTTATTAACACAAAATATTTTAATTTTAAAAAGTGGGTCAAGTTTTATATAAAATAAAATAAAATATTTAGACATGTGCTGAAAAACGTTCAGATGAACAATAACCTACAACAAAGTCTGCTTTTACCTAATAATATCTAGCAAATTTAGTTTTGATTAAGAAAAATAAAAAAATATAACATAAAGAAATATATATTTTTACTAAACAAATATAATTTTTTCGTTTTCTTATTAACTAACATTATTTAGTTTTTTTTGTAAAAGAACGTTTTAAAGAATTCATATCTTATTTGTATTAAAATAATCCTATTAATAGAAAAAAAAATGAGGCCTTAAACTGTCAAAATTTGATTTTCAAGCCAAAATAGTGATGTGTCTGTAGTGCTCGAATGTTTTCTTTTTTGTAACAATACCAATAAAAAAATTTTTGGATGGAAAAATACTAGGCCGCTATTAATTGCCAAAGAAAGGGGACCTACTATTTACTACAATTAAGTTATTAACACAGAAGTTTTTAAATTTAAAAAATGGATTAAATTTTATTTAAAAAATATAGACATATGTTGAAAAACATTCAGATGAACAATAACCTACAACAAAATCGGTATTTACCTAATAATATCTAGTAAATTTAGTTTCGGTTAAGAAAAATAAAAAATATAAGATGAAGAAATATATATTTTTAGTAAAAAAAATATAATTTTTTCAATTTTTTCATTAACTAATTAATGTATTAAAATAACCCCATTAATAGAAAACGACGAAGTAAAGAGACCTTAAACTGTAAAAATTGGATTTTCAAGCCAAAATAGTGATGTGTTTGTAGTGCTCGAATGTTTTCTTTTACGATTTATTGCTAATATATGGAAATTTCCCACTTTTTCATATAGTCACACTTTTTTAAAATGCAAAATACAGTAAAGTTATAAAATTCGGGTATTTTTATTTGAAAAACGGTTTCTAATGGTACTTTGTTACCAGCGCGAGTTTATTTCTAAAATATCAACACAGACCGCTAAAGCAAATCCGTTTCTATAAGGAAATGAACCTCGAATATATAAGAAAGGCTTTTAGTCGGATATATATTTTAATATATTTATAATTTATAATTGAATATTTTAATATATTTAAATTTAAAAATGTACAATTAAAATCGGAACAACTTTTGTTTCTAAATTTTTCTAATAAACAAAAAATTGAATATGCTTAAGTGGGTGTTATACTTCTGTTTCAGTTGATATACATAGCATCGTGCAAAATAAGCTCCACAAATGGCTACGATACCCCCGGTGGACCGCAGTACCATATTCAAACAGACGAAGGACCAGAACGATATTTCCGGTACCAGACACTCAGCGGTCAGTACCGGAAGGAAAAACGACTCCACGACGGTACCGTCATCGGTACTTACGCCTGGATCGACGATGACGGTTGGTATATACGAAATTGGGTTGTTAGTTGATGTGTAATTTTGCTTAATTGGGTCATTACAGTGTTAGTCACAGCTGAACAGCAGGTTTCGCTTGATACTAGATATCTCACTCTCCCATCGAGAAGAGAAGTCAGGGACAGAATTAAATTTTTTTAATTTTAATTTTGAGTAATTTGAGTAAACTGAGTAATTTCGACAATTTTTCATTTATTGTTTATACAGTATCAATTTATAATTGTACCATTACGAGATTTATATATTTAAAATTATATAAAAATATTTTAGGGAGTCGATATTTATAATATGAGGGAAGGGGTACTAATAATAGACTTTTTTTAATGAATCTATATCAAATATAGCAAACAATTTTGAACAAAGTACTATGTGGTAACCGTTTCACAAATTGAAATGTCAACAAGGAATTTTATTAATATTAATGTATCAGCTAAAAAACATATTATTGGTTGTTTCACATAATTAATTCGTTTTTCATTTCTGTTGATTGTTTTCTAAGAAGTATATTCTCAGTATACAACTCAAGGTCCGCTATTCTATCAATACAGCGTCGTAACACAATAATGTATGAGAAATCATGTATGTACGTCCGGTATAAAATATTTTAACAGATTGGTTGTGAGTTGTACCTCATCGATTATATACAATATTAAACTTTTCTTGTTATTTTACAAATGGAAAAAGAGTTATAGATATTTTGAGTTTTAATTTTAAATTTTGTTTATTCGTTTTTAATGCTTCTATTGTTTTCATTAACTTTATTTAAGCACTTTTTTCTCGACATTGAGATTTTTCAGTTCATTAGGTAATTCATTAAAATATTTTCCTGCATAACTCACAGAGCCTCTTTGTCCGATAGACAATTGGTTTCGCGGTAAAATAATACTTTCATTAGGAGTGTTCATTTGATTTTGTATATATTCATTATAACTCTTGTTTGATACTTAGTGGTCTATTTGCATCTTGTTCCTTTATTCCATAATTTTAAGAATGCTCTTCTGAAGACGATCCAACTGGTCAAACGATGAACTGTAGATACCTACCCAGCCTATGAGACATACGTGCATACACAACAACACTATGCAAAAGACCATAGTAAATTTGTAATAACTGCTTTCTTATTAATCTTTTCTTGAGACTATAAAAGACGTGTACTAAGTATTAGTTTTTTCTTACTCTGATAGCCACGTGAACATCTCATTTTATATTTATTCATTTATAGTCATGTAGTGTTTACCAAATTCTGTGGAACAGAGTCTCTATAGTTTCCAAAAGAGACTGTGTTGAGTACCAGTTTATTTTGATAGAACCAGGAGTATTCAGAGTTGATGACATTAATGTTGAAAGGTCGGGCCATGAATTTGCTTTCATTGGTTCCTCACATGCTATCTTGTAAACCAGCACATTACTTATATATAAGATGAACAATATTGGTCCAAATATTGAGCCTTTAGGCACTCGAACATTTGTTTTAACTTGCTGAATACCATTTACTCTTACAATCTGTTGTCTATCTTTCAGATAACTTACCATCAAAGTTAAACTTACACCCTTTATTCCCAAATTCTGCAAATTGGACAATAGTATAATATGATCAACTGTATCAAAAGCTTTTCTAAGGAAACCCCTTTATTTTTTATCTTATTATTTTTTTTATTTAAATTTTATTTTATTGATTTAGTTGTTCAAAATGTCCACCCAGTGTATACATAGTCTAGCTCTTCTTAAACATGAAGTGGTAGCTCTACTAACAGCACGACTGGTTTTTCTTGCATCCATTATTCTAGCTACCAGTTGAAGAAATTCTGTTTCGTGTCGACTAAAGTGAATTCACCAGACCAAGCTGAATCTACATTCGTTGTCTTACATTATTAGGAACATCATCCAGTAATATTGGAAGATCATTTTCAATGAAACATAAATAACGAATGGCCGTGAGACGTTCTTAAATTATAAACAGACCAATGATTAATAATGCCACACCAAATATTTTTCTAAGATCTAAGCTGTAAGAAATTTGCCTCAAACGTCGATGGACATTGCTAAAGGACATCGTCGACGATATCCATCAATTGTCGCTTATCCGTTTCCACTACACAGTCCATAAACAGAGTAAATATCGGCGTATTCTTCATTAGAAAAAGTAGACATTGTACCTTAAAGAGTATTTTAATATAACACACGACAATTTCTTGTTCATTATGTTCATTTGACATGTTTAACTTGAAATCGTCCTTTAACACTATGACACTCATGTCGCGGGACCCCCTGTATTTTTATTATATAAATTTTTAATGTAATTTTCTGCCTCATTTGCATGTTCTGTATTGTATACCTATTTGTGACCCACTTGCCGAAATCCATAATGGACTGATTGTATTCTGAATATGTTCTATAATATTCGCATTTATTTTGAAACGGCCTGTATGTTTCTGTAATTGAATCTATTATAATCATTCTTCTTATTATTTAAAAAAACTGCAACGGTCATCCAGTGATCGGTTTTAAAAGGTGATACTCCAAAACACCAAAGGGGTGAATTCTTGAAAAAAGATTTCGAATATTTCGCAATGATTTGTATTCACGAAACTGAACCTCCATTAATTTCAGGTATATTCAGGCAACGCGATTATGTAGCTGATACGGGAGGATACCGAATCGTGAAAACGAAAAATATTTTGGTGGGCAGAGACATGCCGATCGCCGACGCCCTGAAGACGGCCAAAAAATTCCCTTCGTCCGTCGACGTGCTTCAATCTGCTAAATCCGGACCTGTCTCGGTACGACCGCAGCCGCCACCTTTCATCGCGACCACCCCAGTTCCTAGTTCTTCGTTCTCGCCCATCGTCGAGATATCCAACAACGCGTTGCCTTCGTCCACCACGTTGCCTTTGGAGGTGACCTCCACCGCCGGCTCTTTCGTATCTTCTACTGAGCGGCCGTTTGTAGAAATCACGCCCAATTCCATCGACTCAACCCCTAAACCTTTCGTCATTACTCCAGCCGATACCCGTTTAACTGACTTCCTTGTACCCTCGTCCACACCGAAGCCTTTGGTGATCACACCAGCACATACCCAGTTAGCTGGTGACGTTAAGTATATCCAACCGCTGCCGAATTACGAAACGGTACCCATGTACACGGAACCCAATCAAAAACTCGACTTTAACCCTTACGTCAGCCCCGTAAACAAGGGTTATCTTTTCCATAACGGTCCCACCTATCCTATAGATAGGAACGGTCGTACTTATAGGGGTAGCAGATACGTCAGCGCTAGCCCTAGGATAGGCGATGACTACGACAAGCGACACTCTGGGTACGACGGGGTGTCCGTAACGAACGACGGGTTCAGGTATTACATCCCTCGAGCGTACCACGAGGAGGCCACCTTACCAGGAAACGAAAGAACGGGCAGTTTCGGGTACATCGATCCCTTTGGAATCAGAAGGGTGATCTACTACAACACCAAACCGGGTTCCGGGTTCCAACACAGGAAGAATAATAGATACGTCGGATTCGACGCCACCCCATACGATCCTAGACCGTACTGACACGAAGAGCTAGACTGTGATAGCATGTTATATACAGTGCGGCGGTACCGGTGGATCGACCAACGTCCAATTCGTTGAAGAACGTTTTTAATTTATTTTGGAGTGTGGGTGCCATGACGGATTCCTAGGATTAAAGTTTATGTGTTGTATAGGCTCTAGTCCAGGAAGCCGTATACCTGTAAAAAGTTGCAAAGGGGAGTTTTCTTGTGGTGGTACCTTCGGTCGTGATAGTGTCGGGTAGTTTTAGGGGAATATTTGTGCCTGTATACCCTGTTCGTTCGGAAGGGCAAGCTAGCTTTTTGTACCAGTACCATCGAAAGTGACAAGTGGTACTCGTATTTCTTCGATCAAATATTTCAACAATTAGTAATTGAAAGCTGCTTAACCCCAAATAATATAAATCGAAGCTACAATTATATTATTAAAATTATATCTGGGACCAATAATGTAACAAATAAATTATAAAAAATTAGTGTTCACTTGCTTCGTAACTGTTGAAATAATTAAATGCAAAAAATTAAATGGATAGCTGTAAAAAGTCTCTACAAACTGGATAGAACGTGTACCTAACGTCGACGTTTTTTCTTTGAACTCTGGAGGGCCATTCAGACTGCACTTCCGTTCAAATTTCAAATGGTCAATGACTTAATCCTTTGTCGAGATATTTGGATTTTTATTGTTCGTTGCTTTATACCGGAAGATTCAAATTCTTTTTAATAAACAAATTTTATTGAATTGTCGTCAGCTATGCTAAACAGATTTTTTTAGTGAGTAACTCTCACGTCTAAGTAGCATCGTACTTTCTTACTAAAAACAAAAAAAATGCACTGAAAAATTCGATTTTTATTCGACTTGCATGTCGGAAAGTGTGTAATGTTGTACAGACCTTTCAAAGACACCCAGTATAAATCCAATTTGATCATTGGAATAGGATATCGTTTCGTTGTCCCCTTCTCAACGAACAGACTAATTTATTGCTTCGAGTTCGAAAACGAAACGAATTCAGAAACTTCGAGTTTCAAACGAGTGTGAAAATTGAATGGAAATCTCCACATTACATTTGCGCAAGTTGTAAATATATAATTACCTACATATTCTAATCACCTACCTAAACGTATTAACACGCTCATTTTTAATGTGGATCTTGAAAAATGTTTTTTTTTTTTAAATAAAATTTATTTAACAACTAATTTTGCATTTTATTTGCCGAATACTGCGGCCTTTTTGCAGGTCAACACTAAATATACAACAGAAAAATAAAATAACGGTTTTTCTTAAAATTAACCAAAACAGAGAATTATTAGTTCTGAACCACCTTTGAATAAACCAAAACTACATTTCTAAAACGCCAGTCGTAATCGCCCCAAGAACAGTTCCAAAATTAAACGAACAAAGCTATACATAATTAGAATATAAATATGACATATGAGTATATATGGTTGCCTGCAAAACAGGTAGTACCCTCCGATAGAGTACATTGCAATTCCCGTGCTGTGGTTCGAGCAACTTAGAGACTAATCTGTCTTCTCGTTCTCAGATGGCGCAAGGTGGAGTCAATGTTTAAATTTCAAATAGTTTACAAGCGAAACAGACAGTGGTAGATATGGTAGCGCTAAGTGAATTTTAATTAGTTGGCACCAAAAATATATAAATTAAAACAAATTATTCAATTACAAAAATTTCCAATAAATTTTTATCTTTAAATTTTTCAGTCAAATATTGATTGTGACGGTATAAAATTGACGATTAGATTTTTTTTGCGTTTATCTTGTTTTTCAAAATAGGTTTTGCCAACATTGAAATTATGTTTTATATAACTGCCTTTAATGAACATTAAGAAACTAAGAAAACAATAGGATTTAAGTAGGTAATAAATATTTGTTACTACCATTAAGTGATTAATTTAATCAAAAATATCAAAAAATTATTGAAAAATGTATGTATTCATGTATGTATATAGGAAAAAAATTTTATAAAAAGGAGGAAAGCATGATTAAATTTAATATAAAAATAGATAATAAATTATAAATTGGCAATAACTTAGCCTAGCAAATTTTATTAGTTTTAGAAAAAGCAAAAAAAAAATCTTACTGTCTTGAACATAAAACCGAATTTTTCAAAATTTTTTCTGAGGGGAATTTAAAATTTTCTGCATTGCATATAATAAAAGTGAAATGGCGATTTTCAAGTCAAAAACTATTGATATGCGACATGAATGATTTATTTGTCAGAAATTATTCGACCCAAATTCATCGCTACAAACAGATTATGTGCACAATGTAGAACTTTCAATTCATTCCATTTTTCATAAGTATAAATAGACCATTTTTCTGGTGTTTTCAGTTTTAGAAGTTGGTATTAAACTTTGGAAAATTATAATTGTGGTGTAGATGGTGTGTTATAAAACATTGTGATCAGCCACATTTTATTTATTTATTTATTTTATTTATTTTATATTGTAATTTAATAATATACAAATATTTTTACAACTTCAACTTTCTAAAATATAATAATTTATGATACAATTCTTCTTCTTCTTGTATCAACTTCTGCTTTGGACGTTGGTGATCATCATGGCTAACTTCAATTTTGATACTGCTGATCTAAATAATTCCATTGACGATAGACCAAACCATTCTCAAAGATCACGCAACCAACAGATTCGTCGGCCCCCTACACTTCGTCTACCTACAATTTTGCTCTTCATGATGAGTTTCAGCAGCTCATATCTTGTACCGCGTGATATATGTCCCAGGAACTCAAGTTTGCGTTTTTTAATGGTAAAGAGTATTTCGAGTTGTTTGCCTAACACTTCCTCCTTTAAAGTTATACTCATCCACGAGACTCTCAGCATGCGTCTATAAGTCCACATTTCAAAAGCTTCCAACCTCCTTGTGGTTTCTCTATTGAGCATCCAGCCTGCCAAGCCATAAAGCAACACGGGAAATACATAGAATTAGAGCATTTTTGTTCTTACTGTTGGTGATAGGTCCGGAGCCGTCAATAGCTTTTTCATTTTTATGAAGACTTTTCTTGCCTGTTCAAAGAGGGACAGGATTTCCTGTTTATGTTGAACGTCTTCATTAATTATAGTGCCAAGGTATTTGTAGTGTTTTACTTGTTCAATTGTTTTCCCGTCTACGATGAGCTGACCTGTTGCTTGCTTCATTTATATTATCATCATCATTTTAGTCTTGATGATGTTCATGTTGAGACAGTAATCTTTGCTAGCTTTCGCTACTTTGTTTAATAGTCTCTGTAAATCTTCAAGAGAACTCGCATACAAAACAGTGTCCTAACGAATCTAATATTATTAAGGATTTTCCAATTTATTACCATCCTAGCGGATTCGTCTTCCAATGCTTCTCTAAAAATGTTCTCCGGATATATGTTGAATAGCATTGGAGATAAGATACACCCCTGTCTGACACCCTTCCGTATGCTGACCTCTTGAGAGCACACATGGAGATCCTGATTGACATCTAGGCATCTCTGGGCAAGAGCGTTAAAGGAGAAAACGGCTTCCCGAGTTCCAAGCCCATTGCGGAATCAAAATTGGGTGTTAGAGGTTCCAGTTTCGCATTGTTGTGTATTCTGACGTGCACGATTTTTAGACGAATTTTCAGAACATGGTTCATTAGATTTATGAGTCGGTTGCGACAAAACTAGACAGAAGCCAATCATGGGGAATATTACCAGTCTTGTATACATCGTTGAACAGATCAAGAGTACCTCCATCGAATGTTTGTCAAGCAATTTCAAAAGCTCACAATGCACATCGTCTGGCCCCACTGCTTTGCCAAATTTTGCTATCCTTAAAGCGTGGTCAATTTCATCTCTTAGAAGTGGGTTCTTGGTTGTTGTTAGCTCGTAGTCAGTTGTTCGTTGGTCATTGAAAAGCTGCTTTATATAAGTTCTTCAGATCCATAGCTTATTCTCGATGTCCAAAATTATTGAATTTTGTTCGTTTCTAAAAATACCTTAGTCTCTTTTCGATCCAATATCAACTACTTCCTTTATCTTTTTGTGCATATTCAAGCTATCGTATTTGCGTTCCAGATCCTCTATTTCTCTACACCTTTCCTTCATCTAATTCTCCTTCGGTTCGTGGATTTTATTACGAATAGTGTTTTTAATGGACCTGTGTTCTGCTTCATTATTGTTTTTGTTTTCTTCCCTCTTACATTTGTGATAAAATTTCTTGTGTCATGCACTTCTGTTTTGGCACCCTCCTGTCCTTCCCAACTATTTCTTTATATGATGTTACCAAGGTATCCTTAATTTTTTCTCATTTTATGTTATGGTCATAGATAGCGAATCCTTCTTCATATAGCCTATGGAATTTTTCATTTAAAAAGTTGATGGTAGCGTTACTTATAGTTGACTCTTTTAACCTATGAATATGTATGTTTTGTTTTGCCATTTTGTTTCACTCTTTTTAATTTTATGTTCATGTCCATAACTATAGGGTTGTGACATCTGAGCCTGGGTAAGCTTTTACTGCTTTTGTTCCATTTCTAAATCTGTTATTCACCAAAATATAGTCTATCTGGTTTCTAATTAATGGTCTTTGTTGTCTCCGGGTGCTTTCCAGGTGGCCTCCTTTTCGGAAGTTTGAAACGCTTACCACCAAGTCTTCTTCTACGCAGAACTGCAACATGCAATTTCCCGGTCATTTCTATCTCCTAAACCGTATGCACCAACATAGTCTTCATATCTGCCTTCTTAAATTTTCTCCTTCTCCTTCTTTTCTCAATTTTATAATTCAAATAGAAATTCCTGGTCATTTTTATCTGCTGTAGGCGTGTATATTTGTATGAGGTTTAATTTACCAATGTTCGTTTGGAACTGAATCATAGTGACCTTATCAAAGTAGAGTAATAAATTGACCACTGATTTCAACATGTCTTTCGTTACCATGATTTCAACTCCATCATAGTGGTGATTCCCATCGTTGCCCGAGTAGTACAGCATTCCTCTGTCAGACGTGCATTTACCAGAATCCGGCCATCGCACCTCACTCACACCCAACACCTCTCCATTTCTGCAAGAACGTTGTCCATCTTTCCTACCTGATATAAGCTACGTACATTCCACGTTGCGATTCTGATGTTATTTCTATGAATTTTAAAACACTTTCCCTGGCTGACTGGGAAATTCTTAGCACCCGTCGATTCTAGGTTTTCAACCATGTGAGTTATCTTGGAAAAATAATCACTGGCGTGGTTTCCTATTGCCTTCCCCTGTATGTAATTCGGTCGCTTCTAATATGGAGGACACCGTTTGCAGCCGCCCACTTTGAGTCAGACGCTACTGTTGTGGGCTTCTTTTAGCTTCACACCTACGTTACCGCCGGCATCGATCCCTGGATATTGAAGGTTACTGAACCATCTCACCAGCGACAAGGTGGAATTCCCCGAGATGGTATGATACAATATGTGGCGAAAATGGCTCTACGTTTATATTATAAAAGCACACTATATTGAGTTATTTGATTATTTGGTGGATATAAAATTTATTTTAAATTTTCTGAAATATTTTTGGTTGAAAATATATTTCTGTCACATTAATTTTTGGCGAACATATATTTTGGCATTAATATGCTAACTTTTATGAGCCTCATATTAAGAGCAACTAAGGTTTTTAATAATAGTATTGCTACCATTTTTAATATCCCTTGAAATTTAGAATCCATGAAACTGCTACTTTAACCATCTCTTTTATAAATGTTTTATATATCGTTAATAATTTTCCTTATCCTTATCCTGATGAATACATCATGTTAGCAATATCTCATCCAATAACCGATATTCCGGCATTCTGCTGCGACCTGATGATCTATATCTACAGACCTACTCTTCACCTTTCCTCACTTGGAGGTTGGTGTTTTCATGATCTTCCACTATATCGTGGTATCCATGTCAGTGTTGCTTTATTATTGAAGTCATCAACAAATGAAGATATTTCATATGAGTTTCTGCTGAAAGTACAAGCAGCCTTGGTGTGCTGTTCGATGCGTGTATTTCAAAATATGTGATCGGGGTGGTAAAATTTTGGTAAAAAAACAGGTATAGGCAAAAGATAGAAATGGATGAATTCTAACCCATATTTTAATTTAAATTATAAATAAATAGATTGTATTTTAACTAAAAGGCAGTTGGTTGTACATGGTGGTTCAGAT